CCAGTTTGAGATATTCCAAATTGATGGTGTGTCATGTGACATGGCAGTAACTGTTGAAGAATCTGGGGCAGTAAGAGGGAGTTCCACATAAAGTTGTCCTAGTATCATATACTGTGATTGGATAGTGCTTGAATCATAAAGAGGCCGAAATGTTGATGCATTGAGGACTCGATGTTTGAAGAATCCATGTTTGAAATATTTCGAAGTGACTGTGTGTCATTTGTCATGGTAATAACTGGAGTTAAATTTTCAGCTGGTAAGGGATCGGCACTTCTACAACAGATTGGATGGTAGGTACCAATGTGTTGTTATTCTCATGGACTCATCGCATGGGACAACAATTGAGTGGGGCATGTGCTGCTGCTGTGAATTGGGCTGTCCAACAGAATGGGCAGTGGGTTGCTGGGTAGTGGATGAGGAGAACCACTCTGCAAAATCTGAATACGTGGAAACATGTCCATTATCCTATGACGTAGAGAGAAGCAGTGTAGAGTCAGTAAAGGGCAGAATAGTTTCATCAAACACCACATGCCGAGAGAGAAATACCATTTGGAGGGAGGATGAAGAAAACAGTATCCCTTGTGAGTAGGGTTGTATCCAATGAAAACACGGGTAGGACTTTGGCTCAAATTTATTCTTGGCATAATCTCTTAGATACGGAAAACACCGACAGCCAAACACCTTTAATAAAGTATAATATGGATTTCTTCCATGTAACTTAAAAAGTGAAGTTTCCATTTTGAGAGTGGAAGATGATAGACGGTAGCCGATTAATAGGGAATACAACTGTAAGAAAAGCTTCAATCCATAAATTTTTTGGTAAATGGGCATGGAAGAGCATGGTAAATCCTGTTTCTACTTTATGGCGATGTTTTCTTTCGGCCACTCCATTTTGTTCTGGTGTTCCAGGACAGGAAATACTTCTGTGTATGTCACATTAGTCTAAATGATGTATGAAGTCCTTTAGCCCAAATTCACCCCCTCCATCACACTGAAAAATTTTGATCCTTCATTCAAATTGATTCTCTACCAATTTTTGAAAGGTGAGAAAGGTGAGAAAAAAAGTCAAATTTGTGTTTCAAAGGATGGAACCAAGTTTACCGTGTACAATCATCAACAACAATCACATAGTATCAAAAGTTCTGTACCGAAGCCACATAAGCTGGTCTCCATAAATCACAATGAATTTTTTCTAACTAAACATTTGCAATTTTATTATTCAAAGAAAAGGGTAGCCGACAACTCTTACCTATTTGACAACTACTACAAACTTTCTCAGTATTCATCCAACTAAAAACATTTAGAACATTATTAGTCTCTAAAAGACGAATCAATTTGGAGTTTGGATGTCCCAATCACTGATGCCAAAGATCAATAGGTGCCCTTCCATTCTTGATTGCAAATAGAGTTTCATCTGTTTTCTCTCGATCTAAGGCATAGAGACCCCCTTGTCTATGTCTTCTTGCTAGTATCCTCCCGTTGCTTTGTCCTTTATCTTAAAACCAGAAGAACAAAATTCAAAAAGACATGAGTGATTCTTTGTTAGTTGACTAACTGAGAGCAAATTTTTCTTTATCTCAGGGACAACTAAAACTTTGTCGAGATCTATTTTGCCATGTGAAGTGTTCAAGATGGTATTACCAACATGAGAAATTTGTAAAGGAGAGCCATCACCAACAATAACATTATCATGCCCCTTATAGAGTCTTGAAAACTGAAGGTTACTTGCATCCGACGTCGTATTGGAGGTGGCTCCGGTGTCAAGATACCAATTCGGGTCTTGATTATGTAAATTTGATATGGTGGTTGCTGCAAGGGCTTGAGGTAAGTTTTCATCGACATCATAAGCATAATCATACCTAAACCAACATTTTGTGGCTACAGATTTGGCATTGAGGAGCATTGTTTTGGAAGGAAGTGCCCTGAGCATTTGAGCTTCTCCTCCCTTGTCGTTGGAATGTGCCTTGCTAAAAATTATTACCTCGATTTCCCTACATGGATCCACTTTGCCCATCGGACTGATTTTGTGAGGAACGATTTGTTGAATTCTGATTTCCACGAGATGTGGTGTTTGGGGAGTGATTAGTAGTGAAGCCACGACCTTTAGAGCTAAAATTATTATTACGACCACGATTGAAATTGTTGCCACGACCTCTGTCACCATTTCGTTGAACAGCAAATGCAAAATTCGTATTTGCCTCTTTTTTCTCATCTGAGCTATGTTCTTCATTTCGTAGGACATAGTTTTGGAAGGCAGTGATGAATTGACTGAAAGTTGGAAAAGGAGGCTTAGAGAGCATGGTTGTAATGAAAACATCATATTTTTTTTCCAAGACAATGAGACAATTGAACAGTCTTGTCTTCATCAGAAACTAGTTTCTGAATAGCTGCAAGACTATCACATATAGTCTTAAACTTCATGAGACATTCATCTAGAAATGCAGTCTCTGTTTTTGGTGTCTGAAGTTGGCGTTTAAGCTGGAGTTTCCTTTGTTTAGTTGCTTGTAGATAAATTTCTTCAAGGTAGTTCCATACCTCTTGAGAGGTATTTAGGCCAACAACATGACTAAGGACTGCTTTAGAGAGAGTGTCGGTGATCCAACTGCGTAGCAACAAATCAGTATGTTGCCATTCCTCATACTCTGGATTTGAGACTTCTTTGTTCAATTCGATGAGCATCATTGGTGCTGGTGAATCATTGGTGAGGTGATTCATAAGATGAAGGCTTTGAATCAAAGGAAGTATTTGTATTCTCCATATAAGATAATTGGTTGAGTTTAGTTTAACCGAGACTATGGCAATGAGGTGGTGGAGATTGGAGGTTGAAGGAGAGAAGGATGTTGTTGATGCTACCATTCGTAATGTGTATTGAGAGCTTATGGCTCTGATACCATAAAGAAGTTGATAATTTTAATAAAACAAAGTAGCTTATGACCAAAAACATAGCCATAGCTCTTGAGAAATTCTTTAATATATAGCAGTACATTTGATAGAGTCCGAGCCAATTTCAAGACTATAAAATATATCTTAATGGAAGACATATCCTATCCCAAGGATTAGAAGAAACTCTATGTGAAAAGACATCCTTTTTCATATGGGTCTTCATTAATTATCTCCTACTTAAAATAGAGATAATAATATTGCACTACAGAGATAAGATAATCATGGTCAGCAACTATGAGCACATGGGTCTACCATCTGACCACCGAACTAGCACATGCCTATACCGCCTGACCACCGAACCACATGGCATAAGTGTGCTGCATGATTTACACTTGTTTCATGGCAGCACACTTCACCACAGCAGCGAACAGCGCACCTTGAGGCATTATTTTATCAATATATACACACGAATGACAGCATAGCATATACATGTGTAGATAGTCTATGGTGGATCATAACTATATACTATGTGATGGGCTGGATGGAGGCCGAGTTGATACTCCAAAATCCAGGGACTGTTGGACTTTCTTCTTTTGAGATGGGGGGCCCGTCTCATTTGCAAGGTGGGTATGCTGTGGACAAGCTGTTTGGGTTGTCACGAACGTAGAGGTCCATCAAACGCTTTGGGCCTTGGATGGGCGGCCCACATCAAAATCTCACCGTTATCACTATGATTGTTTTATAATGCATTACAGTTGTTGCGAATGTGTATCTGACGAGGTGCTATTGCTTGTACAAATATATTTTTTTTAACTAGCGACTACAACTCACACTAAGAATACACATTATATCAGTCGTGGTTGGTTGAGATGGGATATCTCTGCTTGAAGAATAAAGAAAGAAGAGTTGTGCTATAAGACAAAATAACAAGCTGTATATATTTGACCTGCAAGATGATAGGCAACAGGTACAACCAAATACCCTTTATATAGGCAATAAGAAAATCCCGTGTGAAACTTTAGTCAACAACCCATTACTTTTGAATACCCATAAAATATCTAAACGTTTGTACCGTTAGTTTCTTATGATAACAGACGAGTGCAAGACTGTAAATGATAATTTGAAAACTCAATATTTAAAAATAGGTGAAACTAAAATTTTGTAAAAGGTTTTAAATTTTTTTTTTTAATTCCAACGCCCTTGATTTCAAGAAAAGAAAATCTTCATAAGACAAAAATACTATTGAACCAAAGACTCGTTGATAATTCAACAGATACTCCTAGGGATAAAAGGTAATAAATGTCAACAAATACAATCATCGATAATGAATTATTTAATGCATCATGTATAACAAATTTGTTTATAACAATAAGTTGAATAACGCGTTGAGTAGAATTATTCACTGTGTCATTGTTTGACCCCCTTAAAATTAAATCTTAATTTCGTCCCTGAATATGTATTTTATAGGAAGACCATATTATAGCAATTTAATGATAATCCAAGTAAACCCTTCAGAATTACATAAGACACTACACATAAATATAGCAATTACAACATCTCCTCCCGATCAGACCACACGAACCCTAAAAAAAGATAATACAGAAATAAAGATATCAAAATAAAAAACAAGTAGAAGAAGCGAAAAAAGGGACAGAGAAAGAAGGGAGAGAGGTGGGCTTCGTCCGTTTGGCAATATAAATCGCAATAAGCAAGGCAAACTTACGGTATCCATACCCGTTGTCCACATGCATTATAACACCACCGTCCACCGCCACCACCACCATTGGAAGATGATCCTGCTGGTATTGGGATACCAAGTTGATTAGCATGATATATGACATCAGGATGATTCCAATTAATTGCAACTCCAGATTTAAGATACTCCTCCCAAGATATACTGCCACCACCCTTACCACCACCACCATTGGAAGATGATCCTGCTGGTATTGGGATACCAAGTTTATTAGCATGATATATGACATCAGGATGATTCCAATTAATTGCAACTCCAGATTTAAGATACTCCTCCCAAGATATACTGCCACCACCCTCACCACGACGACGACCACCACCACCACCACCACCACCACCACCTCCACCACCACCTCCACCACCACCACCACCACCTCCTCCTCCACCACCACCACCACCAGCAGTTAACGTTGGGGACGTGCTGTTGATAACATTGACCACGTTCGTAACCTTGAAGGGATATTGGGCATTTCTGTCACCCATATTCGACACGAATTCGACTGTCCTTGCTACAAAAATCCTCCCTAAGGAACTTAACTTAAGGTAAGCATTATATAAACAAGCGATTTGTAATCGTGAGCGTACACATGTCACGGATGAATTATAGACGACAATCCTCTAAGCGTGTGGGCTCCATCTCCTGCACGTTTTGTTTCGAAATATGGGTGTCGAAAAAATTCGAAGTTAGGTAAAATGGGGATTCGTACTTTTTGTTCCGTAATGGACGGAGTTTAATCAAACGTGTGGTCTGGGGTGGGGGCACCTGGGGGAGGGTGTGGGCGTGGGGCACATGATAAAGGCAATACAATGTCGATGGGAGAATTTATTATCAATTTACAACTCTTTTCAAATATATTTGAAAGCAGAATTAATAAATTTATTTTTAAAAATAAAAAAAAATCAAAAACTCTACTTTTGATGACAAAAAAAAATTAAAATTAAAAAACATACTCAAGAAATACGCTTTCAGTGTTGATATATATACATACAAATATTGTGTGCAATTCAGTGCTGAGCAGAGATCTAAAACCCAAATTTTTTGAAGCCCGTTTAAAAACAGATATACATAAAAAATTTGATGCCCGTTTAAAAACAGAGATCTAAGACACCAATTTTTTTAGCAATACTGTTGAGCAGTCCTGGATCTTATCAACCTTTTGGTCTTCTCTAACTCTCCTTTATAGTATTACATTACATGATAGAGGAGAGATACGGGACTAGATGTGGCCGATAGGATTAGACTTAAAAAATTCCCAATAGCACCGGGACTAGATGTGGCCGACACGAGATTGGGTATCATACTACTTACACCTTTTTTTTAGTAGCTATTCTATGATTTTCATCTTTTGAGTGAATTTAATAACTTTAGGGTCCACTTATCTTTTGAGTTTACTTATTTATTTTTATTTTTTTGGGTTTACTCATCATTTTTTGTATAAAATTTATCACTTTTAAGGGTAGAATTTGGTATATTTTGAGTTTTTTTTTCACTTTTCGATATAATACCCAAAAAATAAATTTCAATATCATAATGTTTTCTTAATTTCAGTCCATTGAAGAAAACGATCGAGCACATTAGCTGCATAGCAGATCGTATAATAGGGGTGGAGTTAAGAATTTTATTTAGTCTAGATATTTTAATTAAATACTCATATTTAATTAAATATTCATTAAAAGAGTCCAGCTACACCACCATTGAAGCAGAAAAGACCATGTGATTGTGACCGTTCCTTTAAACTGCTTTTGACGTACGGGATTGTGTATTGGGTAATGTTATATTTATTAAATTTTTTTATTAAATTTTTATTTTAAATAATATGGTATAATTTTTTATTATTAGATGAATACATTTTATTAATATTTAATAACGAAAATTATATCACATTATTTAAGATAAAAAATTTGATAAAAAAATTTAGTAAACATATAGCATTTTCCTCGCTTGTCCCATCCGCGACCTTTTTCTTCGAAAAGCAATTAAAGTCGTTGGTATTCACTTTCATCCACTTTTATGATTCTTCTCTCTCTCTCTCTCTCTCTCTCTTGGCTTGCTTACCAAGTAGTTTCTCTGTATTTTCTTCTAGAAGACGTTGAATTTTTGGCTTACTGAGACCACGGTATATAAAAAAAATTCGATATTATACTTCAGAATTTTGTTTCTTTAATAAATATTTTTTTGATTTTGTTTTATAATAAAAAAATTATAATTTTTATAAATAAATTACCACTTTTGTGATATATATGGTCAATCCTAACATTTTTAGGATCAATCACAAATACCAAAAAATTGGTAAAAATATTTACTATAATATTGACAAAAAGTACCAACAAAAATAATAAAATTATCCATAAAAGTGATAAATAATAATATGGTACCCCCCAAAAAAAAATCACTTCAATTGTGTTGTGTCAAATTTTGTAGAATGTAGAGTAACTCTTTAATATATTTTCACTTCAATTTCCTTTTTAATGGATTATTTATTATTTCAAGTGAAATACTTTATATACAAGTAAATTTATTACTCAATGAATAGTTTGTTAAAAAAATTGAATAGAAAATATATTAGAAAAAATCTTGATCCGTATAATTCATATAGTGTCACACCCATTAACTATATGAGCAATACTTAGCAAGTTCTCGTTGCATCTATGAAATTTGAGACATATTTAGCAGAATTCATGTTGGTCAATTTATTTAGTGAATCAAATGCGTCCACCCACTAATTAACTACCACTCTATTTATTTTTTCTTAAAAAATATTTATATCACCCAATAAGTCCCTATAATTTTTATGTGGAGGAATTTGAGTGTCATAAATTTTGTGAATCGCACGAGTTGACCACTATTATTTTATGTGCAAATCCAGTGTAGATTTGTGACTCGATAAGAATAATATTTTAAATTTAGTGAAAATTTGTATTGGACAAAAAATCTAAATCTCATGACATCTTTGTTGAAATTAGAAATCCTAGTTAACTCATTTTAGCTCCCCAAATAGAGTATTTTCAACAAAAAATTATATTGACACTCCTGGTGGTATCTAATAATCAATCATGTCCTTATTTTTTTCAAAAATTACACTTCATGCCTCTTGATGTTTGATAATTTAAATGTTATATAGAAGAATTTATAATGAATATAAACCTACACCCTGGCTACCATATTAAAATTAATGGATAGGCATAAATTTTAATTTAATTAATTTGTAAACATAGGAACAAGTAATAAATTTGTTTTCCATTTAGTTACTTTATCTTCACCTCAGGCTCGAAAGACCCATAAAATATTCAATGTAACGGTGATCTCATACGTCAAGATTGTCACGTGATATCACAATAAATCTAAAATGAATAAAAAATGAATCTCACACAAATCAATAAATACTCATCCATGTTAAGTCAATAATTATTCAAATTGAGTTCATCTTGCCTATTTAGTATTCTTTTATTGATTATTGATATATATCATATAACAATATTGATATGATATTATCTTTGCATTGAATATTTACTCGGTCCGAGTAAATATTCAATGCATCGGCCAGAAGACTACAGACTGCATGGGCTTGGAAGTTGGAATTTCCTTATTTACGTCCTTATCGTTTTGAAATTAAACAAGAGTATAAATTCCTCTAGTAGCCAAAAAAAAAAGAATAGTTTTGTAGCACACTACTTACTCCTTTTTTTAAGCAGTTATTTTATGATTTTCATCTTTTGAGTGAATTAAATAACTTTAGGGTGCACTTATTTTTTTCGTTTATTTATTATTTTTTGGATAAAATTGATCACTTTTAAGGGTAGAATTTATAATTTAGTGATTGTTATAATACATGATGCATTAAATAATTCATGATCGATGATTGTTGACATTAATTTGTTACCTTTTATCCCGAGTAATAACTGTTGAATTACATGTCATTCCATTTTATTTGAAATACATACATAATCCAGCTTTGATTACTTGAAATACAGACATAATGCTTGACATTATATTACTAAGACAGTCACTTTGTATATGTAAATTCAGATGTTATGTTTATGTCCAATATATTCGTTGTAGACCTCCGTCAAGGGACTAAACTGAGTATTATTTTTGTATTTCAAATTTGATGCATTGTCGATTTTTTTTCCTTAGGTTTCATGTGTTGATTTCTTGTTAAGTCGTGTGAGATTTTGCTCATCGGGCAATGTGAATTTCTATTTCAATGTGAAACTCCCATCTATGTATAGTTCTCACATAAATGTCCTAATGTACTCTTTTCATGAATCTTCTATGTCTTAATTCTTCTATGTCAGATTGATCTTCTCGGGACGTCCGTTAACACTCGCAAACCGCACACATTGGGTGAACTAGGATTCTCTTGCAAGACAATAACTTAAATCGTGAACTCCTAAGTCGTGAAATCTTATCCTAATGTGTCTTACCCAACTCACCACAATCGTCTTCGAGTCAACCTGAGTTTTCAAGCCACAGCTACCAAATTGGTAAATACTGTTTTAGGAACGCCATAATATCTGTCTGAATTTCTGGTCGTGTTCAACTTCTTCTTTTATCTAATATTTTGTATGTATCACCTATAATTAGTTCACTACATTGCGACCATAACGCCTCGGTGCACTCCTAATCGTTGGCGATACGACGAATCATACTTGGAAAAGTTGGAACAAGTAAACACTTAACCAAAAGTATCTTTATGCTCTGTGACATTCCTCTGAGTGTGTTTGTGTTTTTCTTTTTGACAAATATTTTTCAGATATCTTACCATTAGACTACAAGTGTAACTTAGGTGGGCAAACCCGAACCCAATTCGAAAAAATCAATGTTTGGGTTGAGTTTTCTAGAACATGAGTTGAGATTTGGCCAAATATTATTAACCCAAATTGAATGCGGGCTGGACTTGGGGTTCACAAGGGTCAACCTGAACACGGACCAAATTACTAAAAATTGGTTCGACCCGAGTTCTTATTTAAGCATTAAAAAATAATGGGTGGCATTTAAACATTTAAAACATATATCTATATCTATGTTACTTATAACTGTAGCATATGTGAAAAAAAACTTGATTTTCTATTTCATCTCTATTTAACAATGTTAAGTTAATCATACCTCACATGTTCTTATTAATATGTCATCATTTTTCTTTCTATGTCATATCAAAACTCTTCTTATTATATAACATTAGATCTCTAGTCATTCGCTCTGCCTATTCTTATAACTTTAAGTCTTTAATTAAAATAATAACTCTAACAATTCAAATTACTGTATAATATATGTATAAATTAATAATTAAGTTGAGTAAAAATTAAAATACGAATTGATTCTTCGGCACATAATTTATTTATTCAATTCAATTAAACATAAAATCTATATTTGTTATAGGTTTGACAAAAATATATTATTTAAAAATGTTCACGTGCGTCACACATTATTAGCCTAATTTTTATAAAATTAATTACATCCTTATACCTTCATATATTTTTTGTTTTTATACCTACTTTGACTTTCAAGTTCTTTTGAACTCTTTTATAATTAGTATTTGACTTCTAAATTCTATTGGACTAAGTAGTACAGTTGCATAA